TTGAGTTAATAAACTTTTAAAAACTGCGAACTGGTCTAGGGACGCATCTGCTTCGATCCTCGAAGATTTCATAAAGATAGGACTTATCCTATGTTGCAAGATTTGGTTGCATTAGTTGGTTACACTGTAAACATCAAAATTGTATTACATTTTATCTTTTATCTTTATTTACTATTTAAGCATCTCGATACTTTGATAGTATTCAATTTTTTGTTTATACCTTATGTTTGTGTAAAACGCTACAATGTATTACGAAAAATGAAAATATTAAATATTAAAAAACAACATTTATAAAATATCAAATTATAAACAATAAATTATTAAATAATATTTTTGATTTTTAGTTTTGTGTTTTCTATATTCATATTAACAATGGCTCTTGCTAGTATGCAAAGGAAAACCAATGTGAGTACAATATTAATTGCATGGTTTTAAGCTTCAATATGTTGTGTGTTAACTATTTTTCAGAAGTTTTATTTAATGATTTATTTATTTGTTCCAGGTGCGATTGCCTCCAGAAATTAATAGGGTTCTTTACATTAGAAATTTACCTTACAAAATAACGGCTGAGGAGATGTATGATATTTTTGGAAAATATGGTGCCATTCGTCAAATTAGAGTGTATGTTTTTTAAGTGTATATTAATAATTGGTTATATGAGAACTTGAGGCTTGTTTAGACTTATCAGGAGAGATGTATCATCTTTAAAACTGAAACCTTTAATAAGTAATAACCCTATATTTATTTTGGTCCCATATTATTTAATGTAGTACCATTACTTAGCAGTGGCATATACTGGATTTAAAGTTCCATACTCTCCCAAAAGTTTTTCACACTATGAAAACTTATATAACATCATATTAAATACATAAATTAGATTAATTGCTAACCAATTTTTAATAACTGCTATATAATGTTTTCGCTTTTTTTGGCTAGTAACAGAATATTGTTTGCTAAACATCTTCTATAATTTATTGTTTCATTAAGTACTACTACACTCATGATCATTGGGCCTATCTCCATTTTTAGTCACTTAGCTTTTAAAGTACCTTGTTCAGAATATTTAGTTATTAACATTATTTAATAGATGTTTTTGAAAAAAAAATGTACATGATTTCTGGTGGTTAAAAAGCTTAAAAAATTATAAGGATAAAAAAATGTAGTTTTATAACTACTTGAAACCATGTAAAAAAATATTTTTAAAAACAATACATTTTTGATATGAGTTTAATTCTAAGTTTAATTTTTTATCCAGAAGACATTTTAGAATTTTTCATTGTATTTAAAAATCAATTACGTATTTATGCATAATGTATAAATATATAGATATAATAGATGATCATATTATATTATTACAGTGCAATGCAATTATTTGTTTTAATGTTCTAATCCAACGCAATGCCTTTATAATTTGAAAAGTTTCATTGATACCATCAACTCTATTTTAATCTAAACCTTTTAGTTATTTTTTTGTAATTATTTTCATTTTACAGAGGCAACACCCCAGATACAAGAGGGACAGCATTTGTAGTATATGAAGATATATTTGATGCAAAGAATGCCTGTGATCACTTGTCTGGATTCAATGTGTGCAACCGATACTTAGTGGTCTTATATTATCAGGTATCATTTTCATTTGTTTTAGTTATAAAAATATTGTTTTTTTATACTATGTCTTATGTTGTTTAGTCAACCAAAGCATTTAAAAAATTGGATACAGACAAGAAGAAAGCAGAATTAGAAAAAGTTAAAATGAAATATGGCCTCAGTGAAGAAAATTAGAAGTAAACTAAATAATTTTCTCTGCAAATAACTGTTTAAGACATATAATGTACATGGTATTTATAAACTATAACAGAATATGTAAATATTAAACTAAAATTAATTTTAAAGATTTGCTTAAAATTATAATTATAACTTTAAATTTTATAATTTTAAATGTATTCAACTATAATCATCAGTCTATCATAAACTAGTAATTATAGTTGACTGAGACTGTCTATGTGATCACTAAGTCATTAATAAAAAATGTATTTTTCGATGTCTTACCCAACTGTATATACGCATCAGTACATGATTAAAATTATTAATTTACACAAAAAAATAATAAGTTATCTTTAAATTATTATCTAAATTTTATATTGGTTATGAGTAATAACAACTAATTATTTAAGCTAGCATATGTTTTAATTTTGGGAAGTACATACTTTATTAAGTTCAAATAACTTTTATATCTCAATCTGAAGTTAGTAAATATTATATGAGTTCAGTGTTGTATATAGGGGGGAGGGAGTTTGATGTTAATTACATTAGAAATAGGGCTATAATCATGTGGTGGATGTTGAATATGGAGAATAAAACCAGCAAAATTAAGTAATTTCTGTTAGACAATTTCAATCAAGATTTTCAAGAAGAAAAATTTGATACGTATCGATACAAAATAGTTACGTACCACCTCGTAACGGAGTCCGAGTCCGATACGGGTCAGTACGTATCGCTTGTATATTGCACGTGTAACATCTTGAACGCTCAAAATTGACCCGATATGTACCGATACACTCCAAATTCTTTCTTGAAAATCTTGAATTTGTCTAGAGTGGCTGGAGGTATGCAAATCCCATGAAACAGCATCTTATTCTTAAACTTGACGTACAAATGTATAATATAATGTTCTTATAGATGAGTCAAGTTTAAAATCCTAGGCCAGCCTTATAAATCCCAACATTCTGTAGGCTTTACAGCATATCATATTGATAAGAGTTCTGGGAATGAGGCAATTATTAAACTTAAATCCCAAGTCAACAATTGTATCAACATGCGAGATTGTCGTGTCAAATAGTTTATAGTGCCATTTTATAGTAGTACGCTTCCTTGTGTATGACATTTTTCAAGTTAAGTGTCAGGCCTAATGACAGACCACTCAACAAAATTATCCAAGTCACTTTGTAATCTATGACAATCTGCCAGAGTGATGATATGCATAAAAATCTTCAAATCATCAACAAAACAGAGGTGACCAATCAAAATGATCTTGTGAACCACTTTAGAAATACCATGGCTAGATATATATTTATTTAATAACACATTTAGCCATGGGAAGTACATCATAATCTCACTGGTCGCATACTAAATTATACATATTTTATTTGGACAAAACAATAAAAAGTTTTGATGTATAAATTAATTAAAATTATCAGAATAAATTATGATTGTTTTAATCATTACTCACGGTTTATAAACATAGATAATAAAATAATAATTATTTATTTATTTAGTAAGATATTTGAAATATTTGATTCTCAACTCGTTCACTTAGCTTTGCAAATCTATAGAAATGCTTGTTTTTGAATGGATGTTGCAGGTTTTCATCAATTAGGTTTGAGCAAGATTTGTGTTTAGTGAATTTAATTTAAAAAAAAACTAATGGCAGGTGTAACTTGATCCAAAAACACTCATAACTTTTTGTGCCAGATATCTCAAATTAGAAAATGTTTCTTTTATTTACATTAACATTATAATAATCTATTTTTGATTTTGATGTTTCGAAAATATGTTTTAATTTATTATTCTAAGTGAATCAGTTCCATTTGACGGGCGCCGCGTTGTGCGGCATTCCGGAGTATTCGATTGGCTCAAAAATAAACTATTTTTGCAAATATGTGATAAATCTCAAGGGTCATAAAATTATCCGAGGCGGTCAGTGGGTTAGCCATCCCTGCTTTACATGCACTGTTTGCAAATAAGGAGAATACTATTGGAGATAAATGGCCTCCTTATGGGACACCAGGAGAAACCAAGAAAATATCAGAACAATTATTAAAAGAATAAAGGTTGGTTTTTGAAATACAAGTTGAATTGTTCTAATATTAGTAGGTACTAGAAAACTATTAGTAACATAACCTATGATTTTCGACCAACATAATATAGGCAATAGTTTCCTACGTCAAATGGTGACTTTCAAATTCTAGATCAATATTACAACACACTCAGAATTCAGATTGCGTAGATTATTATTCTAAAGAATATTATTATTATGACAAACGGTTTTAGGAAGACTTTGCGGCCACAAATCTGGTAGTGAGTTAGTAAACTATAAATGTGTAATAAATATTCACACACGCGCATGCAATATGTACCTATATATTTGTGTGTTACTATTTTGTAAAAATAGTGCGACGTAAAAATTATTAACTATATTGGCTATATAGACGCAAAGAATACTTTTATGTATTTATGAGTGGTGAACGAGAAGCCGGACTACCAGTAGATATATAGTGCCGCCCCGACTATAAAGTAACAGTACGTCGTGATCATCGCCCCACCACACACAGCCAACTTGAACAAGAACGTAGGTACCTACCTACCTACATCCATAATAGCATTATAATAATATAATATGTACATTATAATATTATATATCTACGTCTATGCTTATGATGTGTTCGGGTTACATCACAACACGTCGGCGGAACCGCGCGGGCTTCCATCGCCGAAGAAACCCGTCACAGCTCACAGCGCAGTGTTTGTCGGCGATCCGTGCGACACGGTCCTGTGTGCTTTTTTTTGCGATAGTTGTTATTTATCGATGTCGTGTGCACATTGTCCGTACGCAGACGAATAGACAGTATAATTTTTAAATTTCAAAATCGCAATCATTTGCGCTCGTCATAAATCGGCTGGTGTACCTTAATAGAGCATACAAAAAAGTATATTGGCTATTTGTGTATCCGTGACACCTGCAGGAGACGACCGATAGATATTGTATACCCGAGGGCTGAAGTACCAGAAGACCCATGTGTTTAGGTGGTACATCTGCGTAAAGAAAAAGCGTGCTTAATACATGGTGTTGTTATAATGCGTATTTCAGGTAGGTGCATAACTTTATATTTGTACATCGTACATTAAAATTACCTACCCATGTAAACTATAATTAGTACCTACTTAGTAGTTGTATACTTATGCATGATAGATCGTGCTGTATAAACTACTTGTATACACGTCACACTTCGTTCGAATCAGGGATAGATGCAAGCGAGCCCCCCTCTCCTTCAGATCTCACACCGCAACCTTACATAATCATACATTTTTAAAGAAATATTTAAGCTCTATGTATAAGTGATTAAATACACTTTAAAACTATAGACAAGTGGATACTGCTCTCCACTATGCAGTTAATACCTAATGGTCTAGTAGGTAGCTAGAATGGATGTGTTAAATTTGAATTCGATGATATAAAATCATTGTATACGAAACCGTCCGTCAGCCTAAACTACTAAGTACATTTTAAGATATTAGTGCTATCAAAATAATTTATATTACTATTACAGTACTACCATTAATTATAAATACTCAATGCTAATACTATTAGGAATAATATGTTAAATTAACTCTCTCTGAAAACATTGCATTTGAAAATGACATTGTATATATATATTATATTATAATAGTATACCTACTTAAAAAGTTTCAATCATAGGTACCCACTAATAATATTTTTAAATTAGGTAGATACAACAGAATGATTACTAACATCACTATTCTTCGTAACTTGGACTTCAAATGTGTGAAAAGAAAAATTGTGTTCATATATTTTTTAGGTTTGTTAATACCTTGTAGTAAATTTTCATTCATTAGCCATATAAATTTAATATTCTACAAATTTCTAACTACAAAATCATTTGTAAATTTTCATAATTTTGTCAAAATTTAAACCTCAATTGCTTGAGAAAAAAAATTGTAGATATGTTTCAAATTTTTGAACTTCTGTTATAACAATTTATGTGAAACCTACTATAACATTTTCAAGTGTTTTGAATTTTTGATTAAGCAAAACAATCGAAGATTTCTTATGATTATAAATAGCTAAAAAAATAATAAAAATATTTTGAAAGTTGTATTATGATTTATGTTCGGGAAATGCCGATGTTAACATTTGTTGAATATTTTAACTATTTACGGTCATTGCTTATTAGTTTTCATGTTAAAAAAAAAATTAAATCGATTTTGTCAAAAATTTGGCAAAACCAGTTTTAACAAAACCCATTTTGTTTTTTTGGTGTACCTGCCTAACTATAAGACAAAAACGAATTATTCGTAGATATTTAAAATGTTCACCAAATATTTGTACTAGTATTTTAAAATATATATATATGTAATAAATGTATAATTTTCTTATTAAGCTATTTATAGACATTTGACATTTCTTATTAATTTTTCGTTTTTTTTTCATAAAAATCATCTATAAATTATTGTTTGCTTGATCAAACACTTTGAAAATGTAATACAAGGTTCCTCATAAGTAGTTCATACTGGAATCACTAACTAAAATATGTATAAAAAAAACATGAACTGGATTTGTTTTTGACATTTGAGATTAAAAATTTGAACGAAATTCGATATTTAAACGAAGAATAACTATTTTAGTTATTTCATCCTTTTAAAATAGCCAAAAACTAATACTGTTCTGCATTATCCACAGATGTAGATTGTAGATAGCCACAGGCTAGGAATTGTCTTACTTTATTAAATAAATAAATTTTTTTTAAAAGTTGTTTTATTGTTATTGTTTTTATTAGTGTATTACTGTAATACCTAATTAATACAAATATATTTATATGATGATGGACTGACAGATCGTCTCCTCTCAGTATCGTTGTTCGTATCACAAATTCAGAACAATTTAACATATCCACCTGCAGAGTATCTACGGTTACCTTACTCATTGTCACTTACGAGTATATATTATATTACACCATAAATGAAAATCTTCCAATAAAGATAGCGCTATTGATGGATTTGATACTTAACTATATGTTTATAATATTTGCAAATGTACAGGATAAAATATGTGTGTTTTTAATAAACGCACCCCCCCCCCCCAAAAAAAAATGTCTCTTCCGTGTACCTATATCTTCTTCTGATTCGAATGTATTGTGCTTATAGGTCCACAATTTGAATTTTCGTTGGAACCGTGGTTAGGTTAGATATTACAACTCAATAATAACAAACGTTACACACTTACACGCAACGATGGATCGGTGTGAGAACTGCGGCGACGAATATGAACGGTTGCTGAGCGAAGAGGATGACCGGTCGTCGGCAGCCGAGAATCATGGCGACGAGAGCCCGCTTCATTTGCGCCAGCGACCCGTCGATAACGGTCGTCGCGTCGCCTACGGCTTCGGACACGTGTTCAACGACATTACCGCGGCCATTTGGTTTTCTTACACTCTGGTGTTCATGCAAAACGTGGTTGGCGTGCCCGCGACCACCGCTGGATTTCTGCTGTTTTTCGGCTAGTATTTACTATTTATCTACACGATCATTTATACACTATAACTATATAATATGTACATATAGTACCTACCTATCTACAACACAGTAATATTAGTACCTAATCACTAATCAATTGTTACCTATATTCAACTCTGTATAAGTATATGCGTAATTTAGAGAGAGTCTCAGTTGTGCTTAACACGCCCTGATTTGAAATTAGCTCTTCAATATTTGAACCTATATTAAGGATTATAGTTTAAGGCTATAAATGATTATAATACCTATGTATGTTTTAGATACATCGGATGTAGGCAATAGGTATGGCAATAGGTATGGGCTATCCAGGTTTTCAACCTAACCTACTATTGTTGAATAATTATAATATTATTATAGGCACCATAGTTATATACAACAACTAGATATCCGTGATTATATTACAGTTGTGACCGATGCTTATAATGCAGACAATGTTTACATTTATTTTAAATGTATTCATATTCATATACAACTATACCTACCTGTCTACCTCTATATAGGTACCTATATAATTAAACATATACTGCTCATACAGCAGAGCGACTTCGACGACATTTTTTGATCTATGAATTTATCATTGAATTATATAACATATCAATTTTGCTGAGTATACTTATCTAAGACGCGCATGTACCTATCTCATAATTTTATTTCGTTAAATTTTTTAATGTGATGAATGACGACTAAGATCATACAGGTGTACAGTATAATAGGTTCCTAACAACTAACTTTTATTATCGAGTTGAACATTACTGTAATGCGATCGTTATATTTTGTGGTTACATACTTAATATTTATGTAATTTATAACCATTAATCGCCTAGGTATATCTTCAATCGTCATATTTTATTGTTAATAAAAAATTAACTAGTACCTAGTTATTAAGTCATATTACATCATATTCATTATCCCTAAACTATAAGTATTATTGTATTAAATACAGGCAGGAAACTAGTTGGAGCTAATTAGTTATTTGTCATTTCAATATGTATGGGAATGTGTTGTACCTACTACCTTGGTCCAATGTGTATTGCTTCTTTAATAGATGTTAGTAGTTGCCGCAATTGGTAAGGAATTAATTCATTGAAGAAATTATAGTCACTATAGTTCCACGACATCGAAATATTTGGACAGTTACTACTTAGTACAATAAAATCACTCACGAATTTATAGTAAAAAGTTTAAATGTCTTCTATCATAATAACGGTTATTAGTTTTAGATTCTGAGCTGAGAGATGATGAATTGATTTTAGAATGATGTGTTTTTTGTCAGTCGCCACAGTAGCAGTCGAGGCAGCGAAAATGCTTCCGATTTTCTATTTAAGCATCTTTTCTGGTTAGGAAAGTAAATCTTATTAGTACTTTGGGCAGGTCTTCTTCTTCTTGAGCTTGTCGGCTATCAAGACCATCCCGTATTTCCAGAAGTAACCTAACCGAAGTACTTTATGAATCTAATCTAATATATTTTTTTATTTTACTACAGTTAATTAATTAGTTTTTAGTCTGAATATGTTTTTTTAAAATACTTTATAGAAGGGTTGACACCCGTTAATACATAACATAAATAAATAAATATACATACTTATTCATAATTTATGTACAGGTCAAACTGTAGATGCAATAGCAACCCCATTTGTGGGAATCATGGTTGACAAATTAGGGAAAAAGAAAAATTGGGTGCTTTTAGGTAAATACAACTTTATGTACCTAATAAAATATGAATGTATTGCTGTTAATCGTTTTTACAATGCTGTACTATTGTTCATTACACAAGTAAAACCTAATAAATATTCAATCACACAATTTTCAGGCACAGTAATGGAAGCCATAAGTTTTCCGTTAATATATTACGTTTGGAATTTGTCCATAGTCGTAACTACTTTGATTTATATTTGCGCGATATTAACATTCCAAATGGCATGGGCTCTTGTTCAAATTTCTCACTTGTCGTTGATACCAGAGCTGACTGATTTGTCTTTAGAGAGAGGCAAATTAACTTCAATAAGGTGCGTTTGACATTATTTATTATATAATTATTATGATAAGTAATTACTAAGTACCTATTATGTAAGTTATAATATATGTATAGTGGTCATTCAATACATTGACCAATGAGTGCAAAAATAATATTATTTTCATGAAAAATTTGTTTATAAATTATATTTTATTTAGATGGTCACCAATTCACCATAGTCATCTACAAAATAATACCTATGTACCTTCTATAACTATAAGTCTATAATAATTATAGTTCATCCTCGTCTAATGCTCTAATTGCAATCATTCCGTGTTTATATAGATACATTTTCACAGTGTCCACGAATATTTTAATGTTCATCATCGCTTGGTCAGTGTTCAGAGGTGCACGGAATAACGGAAATGCGGGTAGTCTCATTGGTCCAAACGACTCAGAGAAATTTCAAGTTAGTTTAAAAATATATCTGAGGTCCATAGATTTATAGTACCTATATTTGATCTATGATTATACCTGCCTATATATATTATAATATTCACTAATCATGATTTATGAATTATAATATATTATAAATAATATAATGTACACAATCACTTTTATACATTATCCACCTATGCCGGCCATACTGTTACAGCCTACAAGTATCTATCAATTTGTCCAGGCGTGTTAGTTATGGACGTATCTACGTAATTCAATTAAAAATACTGTGTTATATAATATATATAGATGTTGGCGTTAATTGCTACAACGATTGGAGTGTTCTCCGCGTTTGTTTTCCAAGGACTATTGAAAAGCCCACGAAATACCAATAGAAAATTGATGTACCGACAGAATCGACAGATAAATGTCGACAAAATACTAACCTTTTGTAAAAACGTTCAACTGTATCAAGTGGCTATTGTGTTTACGACTTGTAAGCTGCTGATAAATATAGCTCTGATCTATATACCGCTTTTCATCAACGAATCGGCAATCGACGAATCTGGTACCATTGCTAGCATACCGTTGGTGGCGTATGTGTCTTCTCTGGTCACATCTATAGGCGTGGAATACGTCAAGCCGTGTTTTAAATCCGATAAAGTAAGTTCGAATAATATTTGTATACTGCGATGAGAATACACACCTATTGTTGTAATAATTTTCTGGCCGTATTATATATAATTCAAGGCTAATAGGTAACTAATGAGTAGGCACCTGATGATAAAGCTGACTTATAGGTTAGTATGTACACCGATAGATCCGTACGCGTGAGCAGACATTTCTGTCATGGTAGTCGTACATAACATATTATATTAACACTCACACACATATATTATTATGTACCTACGAGTATGTACGAGTATTATTCTTATCCACGTCTAAGTAAAATAGAGATTAATTTGGACGGGGTAACCTCTTTAACTACATTTACCATGGTAAAAAAGTATTTTATAAATATAAACTGAATTGTTGATTATCATGGTAGACACTATGAAATATTGAAATTTGAAAGGGGCGAGTTTGCAGACTGTTAGGCCCAGGGCCTGATTTACCAATTCATGGGCCCAAAATTGTCCACCCTATTTTCTTCAACGCTAATATACATTTTGCTACATTTTTGGGGAAATCCCATTCGACTTTATAACCCAACAAAATATCCAAGTAAAATCCAAATCTATTTTGTTTTCCCAAAGCATGATAAAAAGGTATTGGTTCAATTAATTTTTTACGCCTGTTGGTGGCCCCTCTTTTGAGTGGGCCCAGTGTAAATGTCCCATTTTCCCTTAGATAAAAATGTCACTGTGACTATCCCGTTAGCACGCTTATGAAGAGATCATATAGGTACTCATACTGATTACATGAGACATTTGAAATGGAAAAAAGTATAGTTAAAGGCCATTTTTAATGAATGCCAACTGTGTGTCCACCTCATCTTGCCTTAAAAATAGTAGAAAACCCAAACTTCCTCAACCTTTCTTATTTAGTTGCGACTTAAGGATTTAGGTACCTACCTACCCCTCGTCATTGAATATGTCACTACTTTTATGAATGTGCGTTAAATTGTCATTTAAAGATAAATCAATGTACTGAAAGGAGTAGGAGACTGTGTGACAGACTAATCTGTTTCCAACTATTTATTTTTATAATTTAGGTATTGGATAGAGTTAGTATTAAATTACCTAATATCTAATAATAATAATTGTATTAATTAATTATGTAATTACTCTGAGTAATTAATTTTTGTTAGTATTATATAGGTACCTACGCGTTATGTTGAACTTGAGCTTATATTGTTGACAATATATTCACATATATTTTATTATAAATTATTATAATAGGTACTATATCATATAAAATATTACATTATAATTACATTGATAATAACTTAAAACTTGAAAGTTACGCTCCTAATAGTCAATAATGACACGACTTGACTACGTACACACAATACGGTTCAATACTGTAAGTAAAAAGGCTACGTAAAAAAACTCTGATAACACAGCACGTCAGAACATAAAACAAGTATTTTTTTTTTTACCTTGATAAAACGATTAATATTAATTATGTAATAGTAGTATATTTTTTTAATTACAATAAACCAGATAAAATCATTTGAGGACTAATCGTTGTTTTTCGTTTCAATAACCAATTTTGTTATAATTTGAATTTCAAAAGCCCACAAAAAAATTGTGCCCATATATGTACATGTTATTTACTTATTTTCATATTGCTGTAAAAGAAACTTTATACCTATCAAATTTTCAAATGTCTGGGAGGATTTATACAGCATTACAGCGTGATTTTTAAGAACGCTTATCCTATTTTTATAGTTGAATTATGAATTCATTAAAATTCAGATTTTTGGAATTTTTAAATACATTTGAAGACCATTTTTTGAATCATCGATATTTTTTGTACCACTTAAGGATGATCTTGTGACAAAACAAGCTTTTGTTTTTGAAACAGGAACATCCCTTTTTCATTTAAAATTATTAAGCAGATTTTTTTTTGAGAATTTTGATGTATCTATCTAAATCAAAATTCAAGCTAGTCGTTTTTGAGTTATGTAACTTTGTGTTGTAAGGATATGTCTATGGTAATGGGTTAAGTAGATAGAGGGCTTATACGATTTGAAAAAGTTAGAAATTACAATTGATTTGTCAATATAAATAATTTGTAAAAGTGTCCCAAGTATAATAAATACTACATCTAACATTACATATAATTTTTATTTTGAATTAAAAAAATCATACACTAAATAATTTTCAGTAAAAAATGATATTCTCATTTGAAAAATAAATTTTTGTATCGCCACAGGATACTCCTTAAGTAGTACAACAAATATCAGACATTTGAAAACATGGTCTTTAGGTCTACTTAAAAATGCTAAAAATCAGGATTTTAATAAATGTTCTATTAAAGGGGAAAATGGGGGTGGGCATGCTTAGAAAATCAAACTGCAAATAAAAAAAACTAACAATAATTGAATAAATTAAAATAAACATTAGGATAATTTTAAATAATGATTCTATTGAACAATATTTAAAATATATTTACAAAGAAAATAAATGATAGAACCTCTCTAAAAATCACACATTAATATTTAATTGTTGTATTAATTAATCACATGTCATGTCTTGTTTATATTTCAGGTGACCTTTACAATTGGTAGTATAATATCAATTTTTGGATCATTATTGGTATTCTTCAATCCTAATAATGAACTGACTTATCACTTCTTATGCTTAGCTGCTGTATGCTTTGGTAATACATTAAAATTTTTTTATTATTAAACTATAAAAATTAATGATTAAGTACCTACGTATTAAAGTATATTAATTATATTATTTATCTGGCAACAAATTAATAAATATATTTATATAATGACTATAATGTAAGAGATGTATGTTAGATATCTACTCTCTTTTAATATTATTATATTTAGGCACATTTAAACATTTCTCCTTATTGGTCATATTATGTTCATAAGGAAGTGTGTACGTGTTTCAAATGAATACATAAAGTACATATTATTTTATTTTAAGTTGTGAAGGTCAAATAATTGTATATAATTACTTTATAATAGTTATTTAAGTACAGTAAGTTAGTAAATGAAGTGTTTTCATAATAGCTGATTCAACCTTTTTTCTAAATTCCAACCAAAATTGAATTGTGAGTGATTTGTTTCAAGATCCATTTTAATTATGCATTCGGCATTGCCTTTCATCAACATATTATGTGTATTCTTAATATCAAAGTTCAAAATAATTATAATAAAACCATCTCCAATTAATCATTAGGTTAAATTTTGAATACTACTTAAAATATTTTAAAATTATAAGCTATTATTTTATTTTTAAGGTTCAGGAAGTGCAATAACTTCAGTGTTAAGCCTTAGTGTCACTGCGAACCTCATTGGAAATGATACAGATTGTGGAGCTTTCATATACAGTTCAGTCACATTTTCTGATAAATTGATTAATGGTTTAGTTATCATTGGAATAGAATTCATGTAATAAGCTAAACAAATTGTATTTTATTTAAAAAAAATGATAATCTGTATATTATTTTTTGTTTAGGAAGTGCACAGATTTGGAAAAATGCTCTCATTATTACAGAGACGTTTTGGCATTTAGCAGTGGATCACTTGCATTAATTGGTTTATTGGTGTTTTTAACAATACCAAAAATACTTATAAAGGCAACAAAGAGTTCATCATCTCATATAGTTATTTAAATTAAATTGTACAAATAAAATATGTTCCTTTGCTATTTTTAGGGTTTAGAAATATTTGAATTATTTTAGTAGTTGATAATAACACATGTAAATACACCTAATATATTATATGTGCATATGTTAATTCTATATTTCTTTCAAACACTTTAAAGATATTACAATTGTTTTACACTAAGATATTGGAGTTTTTCTTGTATATGGATATTCTTCTCTATCGTGGTAAGGTTCATATGGATCATCTGGATAAAACCTCCTTTTCTTCCAATATTTTGTTGTCATTTTATCTAAAAGCGTAGACTGTTTGGCATTACAAAATACGTGTTGTCTCAATCTTCGTTTTCTAGCAGCTGGTTTTTTCCACATCTTCTTTTGTCGTCCACATTTAGTTCGAATCCATATACCCCTAAAAAATGTATACATTAACATTAAATAAAAATATATTATTATTTAATGAGTATCCAATTTTTGGTCTGTCTTAAATATTTATTTTAATGTAATTTTTAATTTTATCAATTAAATATTTAATATAGTAAAAAAAAATTCAATTTGTGTTAAATAAATGCACCTATACATATTTGTATAAAAATTGAAATAATAATTAAAATATTAAAATATTTAATAGCAAAATATAATTTAAACACATGTATCAGTGGTTTTAAGAAAAAAAACTAAATAAATTAGATGAATACATAATAATTTAAATTTCAAATGTAGTGAAAAATTTAACTTGTCAAATAGTTAAAGAATTACCATCCCAGGCGATAAAATCGATCGACGACTGTTTTAACAGTTTTCCTTTTCCCTTTTTGTAATGAGAACTTTGTTAGATTCCTCTTTTGTTGAAGGTTGAAATCAATCCTAAAATAAGATACATTTGTAAATAAAAGTAAAATACAAGTAAGGTAACTTAATATTATTAATTATAAATTTAATTAATAATAATTTTCAATCAATGATATATTATATTCTGATATTAAAGTTCTTTGACATATAATCTCAAAGTTGTACAATAATAGATTTTTATTTTTAATAGAATTTTCAAATATGTGTACTATGTCCTATATAATACTATCTTCAGGTAGCGATGGATTTTCGTCAAACTCAGTCAGATCACACCACTAGATTAAATGGATTTTTATTGTCGGATTTCTGTTTACTAGCAGCAGGTGAAAATTTCTTTACTGTGTTAATCTTAGTAAAATGTAAGCTATGTTGTTGTTGGAATAATGAAGTAACGCTTCTGAAAGCGTGGCACCCAGCACATTTTTGCCTCACTCATTGCCGTCGCAGAAGCTGGCTGCCTGAGGTTAGTGTTATATATGAGACAAAGTATACAAGTTTATATGTATGCATATAGTATTTTATTTTACATTGAAAGTGTTGATGAAAGCATCAAATTATATTTGTTATACAAATTGTTAACGTAAGTCGTAATAGATTGAAATAGATTGAAAGTCAACCAAAATCAAATCTTAGGTACTAAGTAGTTTAGTACTTCACTAAAATAAAGACTTATATTAGGTACCTAATAGTTAATTGAATAATCAGACATAAACATAAATTTTCATTTATGCTATATCCTGATTAAACTAGATATTTTAATATGCAATAAATAAAAAATACATACATTATATTAGATTGAGCAATAGGTGTATTCTTGTTCATAATTCCTTCTGCTGATTTAAAGTTGGAGGATAAAATGGACGAGTAGAACCTATTAGTTTCAAATTTAATAAAGCTCTTATTAAAAGAGCCTAAAAGATTAGACCCTGTAGTTTTACTTGGAGCATTCTCTACTTGTACCCGCATAAGGCGAACACCTGAAAACATAATTATTAATAAAAACATACTATTAAGTAGATAGTTTGAAGAAAAATGTTTCAATGTTATTATGCATCATAACATTATTAGTATAGGCATGGTTTAGGAATTTACCCCAACAATAAATCAAAAACAAATTTAGTATAACCAAATTATGAGTTGATGATATATTTGCAGTACCTAATTACATCTAAATAATAATAAAAGGTGTTCATCTAAGTTTTTTACAAACATTTGTTACATTTTGGTCCAACATAATTTAAACAGATATTAGGTAATAGATTATGTTACTAACCGGATAAAATAGAACCACAGGCTCGTCTAAACATTGTTTTGAAAGTTATTGCAATAGTTACTTGTAAATTATAAATTATAATACATAGGTACTTAAAATTGTGGTTATTAAAACACTGATGGTGAATACCACACAAACTCACACATTATAATATAATATTTTTGTATTTTTAAGCACAATACAACAATCACGGTTGTAGATAGAATAATATGGAAAGGATGTCTAAAGAAATAAGTTGTACGTTTAGTACGATTCACATATCACGTTTAGACTTAAAAGTTAAAGAAATTTCTTTGATAATTGCCGCAACAGCAGGCTCACAGCCATTCAGCATTTTACCAAGTTATCACTTTTGTAGGATAAAATAGATAAGGTGGAAACCGCAGTACTGCACATTTAGTTGCCTATGTATAATTTATAAGGAGTTCATAAATATTATTTATTATATTATTAGCTTATAATATTATTTATTTTCATAATATAATATTATACCAATTCTGTGATTATACTTGATCCGAGATTCAAGTCTCAAAGCGAATGATGGATCATGAATGAAAATAAAATTATAAAAAAGTGTTTTCCATTTGTGTTTTTTAAATATATAATTTTAAAAGAAGTTATTAAAACATATCTTATTATAAAATTACATTAAATTATTATCATGTACCTATTTATTCTTTAAGTTTTCAACCTTTTGACCGACTTACAAAATATAACTAAGTGTTGCATTACTCTCTAGTATCTATTATTATAGTTTACTTTTGTTGTTTTTCTACTTTGGTTCCACATTTCATTTATTCTTTGGCTGAACCGTCCAGCTGTGTGGTTGACACGTTATCACGATCACAAATTCACAGTAAACCATGATTGATAATAATACCACAGAATAGATTAAATAAATAATATTATATCATTTATATCTGTGCAATATTGTATACTTATCAAATAGTTGAAACTGTTGAAAATATTAAAATATTCCACCGTGGTTACTGCCGTACTGGGTTAGATGTTTATTAATAGAGAGCCTATTACCGCAGAACAAATGAAGTTATTTATTTTATTTATTCTGTGCTACTACTATTGAGGCTCTCTGGTTATTGATGACGGGAAGTGGGCAAACGCCAACCCAATGCATTTATATTTTATCTATGACCCAATGTCATGGCGGACGTGCAGTCCATAGATCAGTACTGAAAATTATTTATCTACTGTGATAATATATCCACTTTAGCCAAGGCAATTATTATATAATAATAGATGGCTGATAGCGTATTAAAAAACGAGTATGTTTATCATGATAACAATATCTAAGAATAACAAATAACAACAACAACAACAACATACTTATTTGGTACATTATAATTTATAATTTAAGTTATTATAAACATAAAAACTGTCGCTGTGGCCTGTGGGGTAAAATAATGATTTAGCATAATACATAGTGCGCATAAGATTGAACCTGTATGCCCTTCTTTTGTCTTAGTTTCTCGAACTGCTTATTTGTGACATTAGTAATTTTTATACGTCACAATAGCACTACATATAATCGATGATTGTATTTCCTATAAATACTCTGTACTCGAACATACTCGACGAACATTTAATTATTCCACAATATTGAATGTTCTTTTGTGTGACCGCACTAATAGGTTTCGTGTTGTGTTTATCTAAAGTAAAACATTAATAAAACCTACGAAAATGGTTCTTGTTCAGTCCATTTTTCTAGTTATATTCATTTCTCAATTTTACAATAATGTGGAAAGCATATCGTTCTTCCATTTTACACAGGATCCACCACCAGTCAAGGACATTGCCCTAATGTCCAGATATATTGTTCATCATTCAGGTAATAATTCAAAGTTCCATAATATTTTTTATCAGGAAATTGGTTTTAAAAATACCTAGATATACGAGTACACCTATAAAATATACCTAACCTACCTAGTATTTTATTGAAAATTCATAATAAATTATAACTTTTAATTAAAAGTGTTATTTTTGCTACTGTGTTGAGTTATCTATAATATCTAAGAAAAATAACATGTTTTAAGATCTGTGTTAATTTACATGCAAATGTTTATAACATAATTGCATTTTAACATTCAAATCATTCAATATTTTATATTAATTAAAGTGCCATACAATTAGATGAGAATATTTTAAAGTGCGTTGTATGATTATTTTGTAAAAAAAAAAAATGTTTTTTAAAACCAAACTGTTTTTTTATTTTACAAAAATATGTCATTTATGGTGTAGTTAGAATAGATTTATTATTTTTAAAAGCGTTTGCTAAACTTACCTATTTATTGATATTCAATTTTATTTTGTAAGCGTCTATGTCTTTATTTAGATTGGGCAACATTGTCTTACATGGGAAACCAGTCATTTATGGATGGTATGCCAATGGGTAGGGTGTATTCTGTTAGTGACGGAACAATTAACAATAGTTCCGGTGTTCCCTACTTTATGGCTTCACCAATGGACTTATCATTTCAAGATGTTGTGGTAAATATTATGATTTACTATACACCATGTCAAAAATGATTGATACATATTAAATAGTGAATAGGTTAGTTGGTAGATCTTAGTATGTTACGTGTCATAATAAAAACAAATTATGAACATTGGTATAGTGGTATGGTTATTGAAATTAGTTATTCTTTATTTTTCAGAAAACAAAAAACTGTTCTCTTGTATTGAGTTTGGCACAGTCTGATTATTGCAATAAAAAATCTTATGACCCTGAAGATCCACGATGTGCACAGCTTACATTGACTGGAAAGTTTGTTAAGGTACCTTAGAACATCAAATTTTTTTCTGAAATTTGAATTATTCAATAATAAATACTATTAATATGTTTTGTATTATATTCTCCTTTGAATCATCTTTTTTTATTTTATTGTAGTTGGATAAGACTGATCCGGAATGGAATGTAGCCAAAACAGCTTTATGGACCAGACATCCTGTCATGCGTAAATGGAACATTCGTGTGCCAGGTAAATAATTATTTTTTGCATGTTTTTTAATTGATCTAAATAAACTTTGTTATTTTATTGTTTAAGGTCACAAATGGCAGTTTGCAAAAGTAAATATTGAACATATTACACTCATTGACACATTTGGTGGTCGCAAGTATCCAACTATTGCAGAATATTTCAAAGCAACTCCAACTTTTAAATATTGGCCTAAATCAAGGCACTCGATTATTACAGTTAAAGAAAATGTCATAATCGATGATGAATTTTAAAATTGTACAGGTGCTCATGTTTAAATTATTTTTATGAATATTATATTAAAAATTGCCAATTATAACTTATAGACTGACATGTGGTATAAATGTATCATTCATTATTTCATTGATATGTATACTTGTATCTTTTTGTGTTATATATTTTAAATAAATTTATTTAGGTAACATCTTTATTATTAACATAATTTTATAGAACTGGTAGGTGATATAATACTTCCTAAGACATAGTAAATATTTATTTTTCTTATTCAATCAAATAAAATAAGGTGTATATTATGAATATAATGTTTGTATTTAGCCAATAGGTATCTTGTTTGTAAACCATACATTTATTGTAAACCGTTTATTGTTATAAGACAATTACAGGTATTTAAAACTTGAAAAAAAAATTATGTTAAAAAAAATAGAATAGGTACCTAAGTAAAAATTGTACATGTTTTATTAATATACTTTTGATAAAATATTTAAGTCATCTTAAGCATGTTGGGAAAAAACACTTAAAAAAATGTTATTTAAATTAAGAAATTGACCAAGATACTAACATTACCTAGTTTAAATTGTTGACAAGTATGATTTATTTTAAACAAAGTAAGTATTTGAAGATCAAGAATAGAGAATTCTGAGCACATTTCTTAATTTTTGGAAAAAACTAAAGAAAATCATAGAAGCAAGTTTCCATTTTTTGAAAATAATAGGGGTCTTTGTCATTTACGCAAACAGTTCATAGAAAATGAGGAATATTTTTTAATCAACAAATTAGCCACTTAGTAAGAAAACATTTTATAGGTTGGTATAGTAACTACTCTTCTATGGACTATGGACATTTAGGATAATATGCGTGTAAAGAATTACTCATTACAACTATTTTTTTTGTATGGAAGAGGTTGGCTTGAAGACTTGAAAGGTTAGGAGCTTACTGCTAAGTCAATAAACAACATAAAAAACAATGATTTAAAATTAAATTACGATGCATTACCAAACATCCAAACCTAATAAAACACTTATACTTTTATGTAACAGAAGATATTCATTATTATTTATTATTAGAAGTAGTAGGTACCTATTCAATTTGCATAGATAAAATTGTTTTATTATATAAAGATATTTCATGGATTAGTCCATCATTTTTTTTCTTTATTTCTTGCTACAATGTCTAGTATGTCTTTACTCTTTAGGATTCAAATTTTAAATTAATGTCCCGATGCACTGATTACATTGTTTGTCTATTTATGTGTTCCTATTAAGTTATTGTAAATAAATAATTATGAATAGCAATTTAGCTCCTAATTCGATGCACTTAAAATTTTTTTCTAAATCTAGTCACTCAATGCTTGAGTTATAACCTAGACATTTTATTAAGTTTTGAACCAGAATAATAAGCATTATTTTGTATATTTTGGTAATTTTAAATTTTAAGGCTGTTATTTTTAGAGCACATTTAGTTCTCGGATCCAAAATTTGAATTTGAAAATTTTATTTTAAGGGTTTTATTTTTACATGATTTTTTATATACCTACATTGAACACACAATAACTATGTACAGGTAAATAATTATAGAGCCTAAACCTATATATTACAAAAATAATAACACATAGGTAATTGTTTTCCAGATTAAAGAGTTTCCAGGTTAAAAATGATGAACTGCAGTGATAATAGTTAGCCATTGTGCATTAAATTTTTAAAATCTTAAAAATATTTCATAATCAAGTTTTAAGGAGTATTTAATTTCAGTTATCTAAAACAAAAAATGCTCTGGTGTTGGGATAATTCACTTATAGGAATATTACTATTATCTCCCATGGGCCATGGCCGATAATAACGCCACTGGAGGTATAGGTATAGCCGTAAAATAGGTTAGATTTATTATTTCGATTTAGTTTCGATCTAATTTTCTTGTGAAACGAATTTTGCGCTTGGAAAGCAATGTTTTAGAACTTACATAGGAAAAATACAATTTGCATTTAAATTCGCACCTAAGTTGATAACATCAAATACCTATACATAACTATACGGTTATGCCTAGTCGACTAAACTATTTTACAGCTTTTTGGTGTAAAATTATGGT